CAGAGCTCTGGGAGTGCTCTTTGGTGTCTCTTATAAGGATGCTAATGCCATTAGGAGGGCCCACCCTCAAGAACCTCTAACCCTAACCACCTCCCAAAGGCCAGTCTCCAATGACTATCACATTAGAGGTGAGGGCTCAACATATGAACCAGCGGGCATGAGGCATCATGGCGGGGGGACTAGACATTCAGTCCATAACCCTGCCTGATACTCATTCCCCTTTCTGGGACCTGCCCCTGGTTTCCTTTTGGGACTCACCTTTCCACTCTCAGTTCCTGTGGTTCTGGAAAACTACCCACCCCCAGTGCATTGGGTAGGTAGAACTTGGCCAGTCTAATAAAAATATCCCCTTCCTGGATATAGCGACTGGTTAAAAGGTGGAGCCATGATCCATATTTGGACCAACGGGAGGGCCTGTCATGGACTGAATGATGTCCCTCCCCAGATTCGTATGTTGAAGCGTTAACCCCCAGTGTGCCTGTATTTGGAGATATTTAGGGAGATAATTAAGGTTAAATGAGATCGTAAGGACAGGGCCCTGATACAACAGGACCATTACCCTTACGAGAAGAGGGAGAGACACCTCTCTCCCCACCGCCAACTCAACAAAGGAAAGGCCATGTGAGGACAGTGAGAAGGCAGCTGTCTATAAGCCAGGAAGAGAGGCCTCACCCGAAACAAACCCTGGTGGCACCTTAATCTTAAACTTCCAGCTTCCAGAACTGTGAGAAAATTGTGTTGATTAAACCACCCCGTCTGTGGTATCTTCTTACAGCATGCCAAGCAGACTAATAGCATGTCAGAACCATTGGGTAAGAGGTGCCCTTATTAAAGGTGGGATTGTTAGCCGGGAGGAAATAAAGCCTATGCTGCCAGGGGTCATGAGAGGGCCTGCCGGACAGTAAGGCTGACACAGAGGACCCAGTGAAGCCAAGAGCCACGAGACAGGGTGCCTGACTGCCTGATTGGAGCACCTGGACCCAGTCATGCCTGGAATAGGGTTTCACTCTGCATGTTGCAGCTACACAAGCCAAGGGATTCTTTTTGCTGTTTAGTTTCTGTCACTTGCAACCAAAAGCACTGTGACTGATGCAGAGGCAACTCTTATTTTATTATTATTTTCATTGTATCTGATCAGATGTATCACAATCATCACATTGGTGTAAATGAGTTGTGGTCAGACAGTGACACCTGAACTGAAGCTTTGGAACTGTCAAGGTTAAGTGAAGATTTGGAACCTGCCCCATCTCAGGGTAGATGAATAGAGAACTTAGAAATCCTTGAATTCTCACCAGCTACTCAGAGACCAACCCTCTGGCTGGCTCCCTCTCAGAGTGTGAATTCACTAAAGAGGCTATAAAGTCCTCTGCCTAAGCCCTTGCTCCCTCAAGGGCAGCCCTTCACACCGAGGAGGCATTGCACAGTGTAGACCTCTCAGTGTACCTGGCAGCAGGTCTGATCTGTGCAGCCTTTCCTTGCACACCAGTCCAGCACGTGGCCATTGTACTGCCAAGCACTTTGCTCAGGCTCTGAAGTGATCATGACAAAGTGATTGATAGAAAGTGGCCACCACCAGGGATTATTTCTTAATCTGGGCTGGATGGCACATTGGCCAATGGCAGTGAAAGAATCCTAGCCAAGTCTCAACTCAAGTGGCCTCTGGAAATGACAGTGGTTCTCAAACTCCAGTATGCATTCAAATCATGTGGGAAGTGGGAGGATGACTTGTCCAAACAGCTTGCTGAGCCTCACCCCCCGAGTTTCTGATTCAGCAGGCTTAGGTGGGGCCCAAGAATTTGCATTTCTCACAACTCCCTGGTGATGCTGGTACTGTTGGTCTGGGGACCATACACTGAAAATTACTGATTTAGAAGACCTGGAGAATTGGCTGAAGGCCCTTCAGAGGAGGAGAAATTATCCAGTGCTTAGCTTTTCTGCTTCCCTGAAGCCTTCACTTCAAGAAAGACCACCTGTCATCTCCATTGTGGGCTCTGAAGCCTTAGAAAAGTACAAGAGTGAAAATGTAAATCTACATGAAAAAAGATATGCAATATTTAACTTCACTCCTGTGGGCATAGAGTTGGAAATGTTACAGAATGCCTGCATGTCTCCTGCATTGTCACAGCCATCCCGAGGTGCAGTTATCTTTGTTTTACAGAGAACGAAATGAGGTACCCAGCATTGTGACTGTTGTCTAAATGGAAGACAGATATTGGAGGTATTTTTTTAGGTCATGAAAATTATTAAATGTACACAAAAGTAAGTATCCAAAATATGTAAAGAACTCATACAATTCAACACTAACAGTAATAATAATAATAATAATAATAATAACAATGATAATAATAATAATCCAGGTAAAAAATTGGCAGAGGACTGAAATGGAAGTTTTTCCAAAGATGACATGCAGATGGCCAACAGCACATGAAAAGATGCTCAACATCACCCATCATCAGGGAAATGTAAATCAAAACCAAAATGGGATAACACTTCACACCAGTCAGAATGGCTAATAATACACAATAAGATAAGAATGGCTAATAATACACAACAAGATAAGAATGGCTAATAATACACAACAAGATAAGAAATAACAAGTGTTGGTGAGGATATGGAGAAAAGGGAACCCTTGTGCAAGGTTGGTAGGAATGTAAGTTGGTGCAGCCACTATGGATAACAGTATGGAGCTTCCTTGAAAAATTAAAAATTATGAGCCAGTAATTCCACTTCTGGGAATTTACCCACAAAACAAAATCACTAATTCAAAAAGATATATGCACTCCTATGTTTTTTGCAGTATTATTTGCAACAGTCAAAATATGGAAGCAAGTCCATCAATAGGTAAATGAATAAAGATGTGGTATATCTGCACAAAGAAATATTACTCAGCCAAAAAAAAGAATGAAATCTTGCCATCTGTGACAACATGGATGAACCTAAAGGGTATTAGGCTAAGTGAAATAAATCAAAGAAAAATACCATATGGTATCATTTATATGAGGAATCTAAAAAATAAAACAAAAACAAACTCATGTACACAGAGAACAAATGGGAGGGAGGTGAATGGGGAGCATGAAATAGATGGAGATAAAGAGGGACAAATTACAATCATAAAATAAGTAAGTCACGGGAATGAGAGTTTAGGATAGGGAATATACTCAATATTGTCATATCTTTGTACAGTGACTACGCATATGTTGGTAACTACACATATGGTGAGCATTTTGTAATGTACATAATTGTTGCATCACCATGCTGTACATCTGAAACCAATGTAATATATCAACTATACTTAAATTTTTAAAAGTGCACAAAAGTAGAGGAAAAATTGTAAGCAATCCCCAAATGCCTCAACTTTGACAGTGACTCATTCTCAAACTTGAGTGTTCATCAGGATCACCTTGGAGAGTATTTCCATATTCTAGAATTAACAAGACTGCCGCATTGATGACAGTTTTCTGATGACAAGAAAGCCCTGGTATCCAATAATCTCGTACAGGTAGGCTTTTTATGTCATCTCCAAATGAAGTAACAAGTTTGGCCACAGGGACACAGAGGGATAACATTTTCACATTGTGGTAGCTCTGTTTGGGCCTCTCTGCCTTTTAAAAAAATAATCCAAAGTGCAACACAGTAGGTCACTTGTATAACTGTTTGACAGCTGCTAATACAAGCAAACGTGTGCTCACCTTCTGACTGAGCAAATCCACTCAAAGCATTTACCCCAGAGAAATGGGAGCTTATGTCCACCAAAAAACCTTACCAGAATGTTCGCTACAGCTTTATTGGGAACAACAGGATGAATCTCAGATGCATTTTGTTGGATGTTTTGTTCGTGAAAACAGCAACAATGAAAAAGAAACAAAGGCTTTTACTTGGAGTCTCAGAATTGCCATTCCCAGAGCACAGATCTGGCACAACCAGAAAACGTGTCCTGTCTGTATGGAAAAAGCAAGGGTTTTTTATGGGGTAGGGGGCAATACATGATTTGGGTAGAGGAGGAGGAGAAAAAAAATTATGGATTGGTCCTAACACGCTGAGCTGTTTGGTTTATACTATACTTTGTTGAACTAATTCATTATTATTATCAAACGAACTGCACTTCATAAAGTTCATGGTGACAGTCTTTTATGATTCCAACATCAGTTGCCCTGTTGGTTTTGTGAGCAATCACTTTTAAAATAATTGCCATTTCTGGCCCAGTTCAAATGGCCTTTTAGCCCAGTTCAAAAGTTCATTAGTCAGAAAGGAAATAGGAGCTTCAAAGTGGAATGGTCCCATACCCAGAAAATTTACACGCCAGTGAAAGAAGCCAGATGCAAATGAAAAATTCTTGATTTCTTCAAGTATATCAAGTCCAAGAACAGGCAAAACTGATCTATACTGACAGAAAGCAGAATGTAGTGGTTGCCTGCGGCTTGGGGGCAGGGGGTGCCGTGAGGTAAGGCAGATTGGGGAGCAGCACGAGCGAACATTTGGGGTTCTGGCACGTTCTATGTGGCGATCCGGTGGTGGTTACACAGGTGTACACAAAGAAAAATCAGTGGAGCCAAAGACGGACGGTTAGGGCACTTTGGTGTACGTAAGTTATTTTTCAACAACGTACTCAGCACACATCCGCAGCCACACCCACACGCGACCCCACAAGGCTCAGATCCAGCTGCGGTCCGGCCGTGCCACTTCGGGGAGGCCACGGCCCGCGCCCCACTGTCCTCCGCCCTCGGGGCCCACTTCCGCGCGTCGCCCAGGGCGGGGACTGAGCCGGCACGGCCCATTTCGGCCCGGCCCCGCCGCCGGCGCGTGTCCAGCGATCAGGGGACGCCTGCCCACCTCGGGCCGCCCCCGCCGCCTTCCCGGCCCGGCCCCGCCCACTCGCAACCTAGCCCCGCCCCCGGCGCCCAGCGCCCCTGCCTTGCTGCTGCCCCTCCCGACGTCCCTGACGCCCACCGCTTCCCGGCCCCGCCCCGTCCTGCCCCGCCCCGCCCCCGCCCGCCCGACACCACCGCCCCTTATCTAGCCCGTCGGCCGCGGCCCCGCGAGGCGGCCGGCGGCGGGCAGCGGCCGCGCGATGTCGCCTGGAGCCGGGCTTGTCCGCACCTCGAGCAGCAGCGGCAGCGTGCTCGGACCCGGGGCCAGCGCGGGGCAGCCGGGCGCGGGCCCCTCGGAGGGGCTGCTGGACCCCGTGTACCCCCGCACCCACGCGGCCCTGCTGAAAGTGGCGCAGATGGTAAGAGAGGCCCGGGGCGCAGGAAGGGGTCCCAGGAGGTGACGCGCCAGGCGCCGGAGCATCACGCCGCGGGCGGGGCGGGTACCGCGCCGCGAAGTCAAGTTGGAGGAAGACGTCAGGCAGGGTGCCCGGGCACCCCGAGCTGTAACCCAGCCGCCAGCCCTGCTCTCCGGGGTCCCAGGTTTGTCCAGGCACCTCTCTCTGGGGCCTGGCCCAACGTCTGACAGAAACCGCAGGCAAACGTTCTTTTCGTCTTCCTTCCTCTTTGAGCCGCGCCGCCCTGACCCGAGCGGGGGTGGGAGAGTCGCCCCGCGCCGAGCTGAGGCAGCGCAGCCGAACTCCCCGCCCTGCGGCCTCTGCTGTGCTCCGAACGCGGGGGCCCTCCTGCTGTGGGGCGGTGTCCCCCGGAGAGGAGGGCCCAACTCCAGCCCTGTGGGGAAAAGAACGGGGTCCCCGGGCAGCCGTCGGTGTCCCTGTCCTCCCAAGTTCCAAGGGAGGGCCCAGGCGATCAGTGGCGAAGGTCTGTTTAGACGGGCTAGTTTTTGCCCCTTCCCCGAGGGATGCTGTTGAAGTCCCCCAGTGGAAGCCTGACACCCCGGCTTTACAAGCCCTGTATATACTGCTTTTTCTATTTATACGTACCTGTGATAAATTTTAATTTATGAACTAGGCATAGTAAGAGACTGACAATAATAAAATAGAACAGTTCTAACAATATATTGTAATAAAAGTTGTGAATGTGGTCTCTTGCTTTCTCAAAATACCTTTGCTGTACTATATTCACCCTTCTTCCACTTGAGATGATGTGAGATTATAAAATGCCAAGGTGAAGACATGGAGTGAGGGGAGCGACTGAGCATTGATTGTCACTTAGCTTTAGGCTGCTATTGACTTTCAGGCGATTTATCAAGGGGATCATCTGCTTCCGGACCTTGGAGCTCAGATAACTGAAACCACAGATAAGGAGGTACTACTACTGTACTTATTTTGGGGAGGCAGAGTTGCCTGAGTGGGGGTCAGCTCCAGAGACAGGCAGGTGACAGCCTGGGCTCTGAGTGTGACCAGCGTGGTGCAGGAGCTTCTCAGGGCAGACACTCTCTGGCCTGTTCTCTTGTCTGCCATTCATTTCTTTTCTCCCTTCTCATTTTTTTCCCTCTTTAAACAGTCTTACTCTCAAACACCTTTTCCCATTTGTCTGATGTGTTTTGAAACTGGGTTGGGCTGTTTGTAACTCTCCATTCATTGTAATGTTTGCAGCAAGAGTAGTGGATGGGGAAGTGATAGTTTTGAAAAGGGATGTGGACATAGGAATGTGGGGAGAGGAGCGAGGAAGGTTCCAGACCCAGAAGCTGGGGCCTGCTGAGGTGGACCAGCCCCAGGGTCTGGACCCCTGGCACCGTCATGCTGTGTGTAGAGGGGGCTCTTATTTCCTGTTTGGCCTAGATACGAAGGGAAACGGGACCGAGTTCCCTTTTCTCTATGGAGGGTGTCCAGATGGACCAAAAACTAGGAAGCAGAGGCATGTTAGCTACTACTAACAAAAAAAAATTGTGCTGACCAATGTTGACTTGAGCAAGGCATTTTTTGACTCAGGCTAAGACCGCTGATCAGCCAGGTAGAGGGGACCAGCCTACCTACCCATCCTTAAAAGGCGGGTTGGGGTGAGATCCTGCCTGAGTCGATGAGTATAGTGGACAAAGATCTGAATCAGAAACCTTCATTTGGTCCATGAGTTTGAGACAAAGGTAATGGGAGTGAGAAGGTTTCAGGTTGGTCCATGAGGTTGGTGGACAAAGATTGTGGAGAAGAGAAACCTCCATTTCATTTTAAGCTCCTCAGCTAGCCTCTTGTCTGTGGCCCTTGTGCCAAGTTGCAGGTGACAGTGATGGGGCCTGGATGTTTCAAAGAGAGAACAAAAACTTGGAGAATTGCTTCTCTGTGTGACCCTCTTAAAACCATTCCCAGAGGTTTCTTACACCTTCTTCCTTCCCTGGGGAACCCCCTGTGGCTGCAGGCTGGTTTGAGCAGAGCCCCGGGAGTGAACTTGCCCTTGCAGGGTGGTCATATTACAAAAGAGAGACTGTCACAAAATAGGGCTGTCTGCTCGGGCCCCTTGTGTACCTCTTCCCCATTCTCCTCTCCTCCTCTCTTCCGGGATGCCTGTTTGGGCATTTGCTGTTCTCTTGTATCCTTGGCTGGAAAACAATCACATAGTCAAGTTCTAACACTGGGGAAGCAGAAGCCGCTAAAGTGGTGCCACCCTTTGGGCACTCTATCTGTGGGTCTCTTGATTTTGAGCACTGATGTCTTATTTGCATCCTAAACAGACTGACCCTTATGTCCTAGACTTCCCATAAAGAGTTTTCATCATCATCTGATCAACAGACCTGTCAAAATATTACCTTAAAAAATCATTGCAAAGGATGTTCCCTTGGAGAACAACTTCTTTGCTTTGAGTTCCTCCTGAGTCCACCACTATCAGAGAAATGAGAAGGTGAGAAAGCAGGAAGAATTTCTATATTGTCATTCTACTTGTCATTTTAACAAATCCTTATAATCCTGTGGCCCTGGTGACTTAGTTTCTTTGGTCTTGCTCTTCAGACTAGACACAGTCACAGTTTTTGACCCCCAGGGACTAGTTTTGTGTGTGTGTGGTTTATAGCTATGTTTTTTGATCCCTGCTATTGTTTATGAAAATGTGCTAGGAATTGTATACTATATACCATGTATGTGCCATGAAATGTTTTTAAAAATCCAGCAAAGTAATATGTTTGGCAAATGAGGAAACTGGCTACTAAAGTCACACAGCTGTCAGTGGCAGGGGTGGGGCCAACCCAGGCCTCCCTGGCCTGGTGTGCCAGAAGACCCAGAGTTGTTGCTTGTTAAGAGATTCAGGGAAATTAGTGTCACAGCAAGACACCACTTCACACCCAGTAGGATGGCAACAGCATAAAAAATAAAGCAGCAAGCCTAAGGATGTGGAGGATCTAAAGAAATCAGACCCTCCTACACTGCCAGTGTGAACGTAAAGTAGGGTAGCCACTTTGGTGACTAGTCCGGCAGTTCCTCAAACCATTCAACAGAGAGCTGCTGTATGATGCAGCAGTTCCACTCCTTATTGTGTACTCAAGAGTAAATGACAGCATATGTCCACGCAAACATGTCCATCAAGGTCCATAGCAGCATTATTCCTGATTGCCAAAAAGTGGAAAGGGCCCAAATGTGATAGATAAAACATGGCACATCCATATAATGGAATGTTATTCAGCAGAAACAGGACTGAAGTACTGATCATGTCATGCTATAACTGAATGAACCTTGAAACATGGTAAGTGCAAGAAGCCAGATGCAAAAGACCATATACTGTATGATCCCATTTGCATGAAATGTCCACAGCAGGCAGATGAGTAGATAGTGGCTGCTTTGGGCTGGAGACTGAGGAGCAATGGGGAGTGGCTATTCATGGGTATAAGGTGTCTTTCTGGGGTGATGAAGATTCTACAATTGGTTGTGGTGGTGGTTGCCCAACTCAGTGACTAGACTAAAAACCACTGAATTGAACACTTTAAATATGTGAATTAAATCTCAATAAAGTGTTAGAAATAGATCCGGGCAAGAGTTGGGGATGGGGGGAACTACTTTGCATGAAGCCACTGGGTGTGGGAGGGCCACACCATACTTCTCTCTTGGTGACCCCCCACATCCACGGCTAGAGGAAGGAATGTCCACCTGCAAGCCTCAGTGGAAACTGCAAGTCTGAGCTGGAGAGCTGGTCTCCTGGCGTCATCTGGGTGCCTGAGGGGCCTGAGCTGGAAAGGATGTTCTGAGGTCTGAAGGGTACCTGAAGCCCTTGCTTGTGGCCTCACCAGCAACATTCCTCGTCAGTCTGTTTGTTCAGCAGACATTCATGAGGGCCACGTCCACCTCCATCTCTGCAGAAGCAGATGGCTGTGACAGAGCCCTTGCCTTTAGGAAGGCTTTAGTTCCACTGAGAAAACAGACAAGTCCCAAATTGTCAGGGACATAAAAGCCCTGATTGTTGACCGCATTAGGGAGGAAGGATGGAGGGAAAACGAAGGTATCATTTGAGTTAAATCTTCAGAGATGAGTGTGGTTTGTCAGCTTAGGAGTGCCCTGTTTACCTCACCAAGCCTTTATTCAGGGTGTGTGAGCTGGAGAGAAGTGATATGTTGCAGGTGGTGGACTGGAAGAAGATACAGCATGAGCCAATATCCGGGCAGTTCCTAACCTTCCTTCCCACGACATTGAGAGAGGCTTTCATCTCATTTATTGAGCATCTGCTGCATTCCTGTGGGAGGTATGTGCTGTGCAGCAGTTAACAAGAGAGACCCTTTCTGCCTGTGCAGGAAAGCAGAGACTGTGACATCTGCAGAACCATATGGAAAGAGAATCAGAATGTTGTTTCATACACAGCAAAGATGGAAGCCTAAATGTGTTCCAGAAGGTTAAGTTTTTTTTTTTTTTTTTTGAGAGGGCATCTCTCATATTTATTGATCAAATGGTTGTTAACAACAATAAAATTCAGTATAGGGGGGTCAACGCTCAATGTACAATCATTAATCCATCTCAAGCCTAATTCTCGTCAGTCTCCAATCTTCTGAAGCATACAGAAGGTTAAGTTTTTTATTCAGCAAATGTTTGAGCACCTATTGTATGCTAGGACACTTTGGAAACAAAAGGAAGCAAGACAGATCAGCCCCTGTCCTCATACTCCAATAGGGAACATAAACATTAATAAAATGATTGCTGATACATAACTATACAGTGGGACAAAAGCTAGGAAAGAGAAATATTCCATACCACAGAGAACTAATGAGGGCATCTGACTTGTCTGGGAGGTAAGAGGAATACTGAAGGATGAGGGAACAGCATTACTGGGAGAAGAGCACAGATAGTGGCTCTGAGACTGGAGGAAGGAGTATTGCTAGGGTTGGAGGGGAGGGGACAACCTTGTGTGGGTGAGAATGGAGAAACATGCA